TAAGGTACATTGGGTAAAGCCCTAATAGCAAACTGAGCTTCCTCCATAGATCATTCATAGGTCTTTCTGAACAAGTTCCCTTTGCTGCCTCAGTTTCCCCTTTGCTGCAGCTAAGAATTATGTTTTTTATCCATCCCCCATGACACCAGGGAAGTGAGGCACACATCTGTTACCTGGAGTCTCTTGCCTTCTGGAGCAACTTCTAACTATGTCTGGATTTCTGAGAGTTTTCCTGTGCTGATGGCAGAAGACTCTGGGCATGAGTTGTGAATAGAAAAGCACAGAATCTTATTTGGCAACTTCAAAATAATCTCTACCAAGCATTTATTCATAGAATTGTCAAGGTTGGAAAGGACCTCTAAGATAATCACATTCAACTGCTAACCCAGCACTGCCCCATTCACCACTAAAATATATCCCCAGGTGCTACATCCACACACCTTTTGAATGCTCCAGGGAAGGTAATTCCATCAAATTCCATCAGTTCCCTGAGCAGACTATTCCAATGCCTTTCACCTATTCAGTGAAGGATTTTTTTTCTAACATCCAATTTAAACCTCCCCTGCCACAACTTGAGACCATTTTCTCTTGTCCTGTTGTTGGCTGCCTGAGAGAAGAGGCCAACCCTCACCTGGCTCCAGCCTCCTTTCAGATTGTAGAGAGTGATCAGGTCACCCCTGAGCCTCTGTTTCTCCAGGCCAAACACTCCCAGTTCCCTCAGCCACTCATGACAGGACCTGTGCTCCAGACCCTTACCCAGCCCCACTGCCCTTCTCTGGACAGGCTCCAGCACCTCAATGTCCTTTGTTTAGTGAGGATGCCAAAACTCAACACAGAACTCGAGGTGTGGCCTCACCAGAGCTGAGTACAAGGGGACAATCCCTGCCCTGTCCTGCTGGCCACTCTATTGCTGCTCCCAACCAGGATGCCACTGGATTTCTTGGCTGGGAACTCTGCCAACTCACGCTCATCTGGCTGGTGACCAGGAAGTTGGCAAAGCAAAGCTACAGGAAGGATGGTTTACATTTACAATGACCCTCAGAAAGAAAGCTACCATAAAGATAAACATTCTAGTCCTACCTAGATATGCTGTGTGGTACCTGGACTTTGGGGTAGCTCTCAGCCACACTGAGAGTGAGAGCAATAAAAGTGGTTAGAGAAAGAGGAGGGGACATGACCACAACTATTGTTCACACACTGTGAAGTCAGGGAGAAACGTGGATCTGTTGTCTAGATCCAGACTCTGCAAAATACTTCTCTGTCTCACAAAGTAGATGCCTCTTTGGAATCTTTAGGTAAATTAAATACAAGCTGATAATGATTAAAAACTCAGAGGAGGTCCAAAAATGAGGAAGAAGCTCATGTAGGCATTTCAGAACCTCACAGAAGCCTGGGGAAAATCATCTCCCAGAAATTACATCAACTGAAAGAGCTGATTCACTGAATGGTCACATTGCTCTTGCTGTGATAGTCAAAAGGCATGCAAGGCAAAGTTTCTACACAAAAACTTTGCCTTATCTTTTATTAGGTCAGATAATATACTTGGAAAACTAGATAAACCTTATGTACAGCTTCTAGCCTCTATTACAAATAATATCTTCTATTAGACTGCATTTTGGAGACCCACACTCCTCTGGCTTATCTTCTCTTAGAAAAGAGTTGGATGGGATTTTCAAGGATGTCTCAAACATTAGATATCTCTGTGTGGGTAACTGAACCTAAAAATTGTTTTAAGGTGAAGAATCTTGACTTTGACTCACAAATTCTTCCTTAGTTTATATGGAATTAAAATTATCTTCTTCCACATGTTCTGAAGGCATTTCAAAATCTTTTAATAGTGGTTTTAATATGATGTAACATGTTCTTATCTTAATTCTAAAACAGGAATGATTGTATTTGTATATATAATCCTAAATTTTAGTGGCTGCTTTCAGTCTTCCTTCATATGATTTCTGCAGAATAAGGAGATTATGAGCAATTTCAATCTTGGACTCACATCTAGTGCTCTCTCTCCAAATTCACAAACTGTGAATCTGGGAATCTGTGCCATCCAAAACATCTAAATATGTAATCCAGGCCAATGCATTTGTCATCTGCTGCCATTCTTTAAAAGCAATCAATGAGTTGATTTCCTAGGCACAGGCTGTGGGATACTGTGATAAATCTGAGGATACTTTGGTTTTGCTTCATTTTCAAATGCCATCACATTACTGTAATCATTTTTGAGAATTATTAGTGCTCGCAGCTGTGGACAGGCAGAAAAGAAGTTTCCCTTGCTTTCCCTATGTTTTCTTCTTATTTTGTTACTGTCATGCAAGACAAAATTATTCCAATGTTATCATGGCAGTTACTTGACAAAACCATGGAATGCACCCCCACTCTTCAGTATCTTGGGTATGCACAGCATGTCACTGAGCCCAGGAACTGCCCTGCAGCATATATTGAGCCAATGGAACCACGATGGCTGATGTCTTTCTTGTAAAAGTAAGGAAAGAGTCAGGAATTTTTTTTTAACAGAGGTTACCCTTAGTGCTAAGCTGGACTAACTGGGTCTTTCTCAGAGAGCAAAATTAGAGAGATTATAAATGAGGATACTAAAAGCAGTTCCCATAGAACCATGATAAAGCAACTTCAAGAACTCTTATATTCTTTTTGGCAACTGGTATCTGGACATGATCTCAACTTCCCACATGTTGTACAGATGTAGGTGAACACAAGAGCATGTGTTCTCAGTACTGCTCCCCACTTGATTAATTTGCTGTCCCTTCTTCTCTATGATGTTTGAGACTTCACTAAAAGTCACAAGATTTGTTTGAAAGCAAGAGGTAAGCAGGAAATTCATGGAAGATGCTGGAATTGGCTATTTTTTTTTTTAATTAAACCAAACCAGAAATTAAAATGAAGTGCTCATGCTTAATTTCTGAAGCCACACCAGGATGTCAGAATTACAACCCAAAGGGAGACCATCAGAATTACAACCCAAAGGGACACCATCCAGAGCATGGCAACTCTTCACTGACACACCCTGGATCAGTAACACTGCCAAACTGCTCTGAATCTGTGACACAAAAGGAGATTCAATGAATGTAAATGGCCTGATGATTTTTTTGTATTGACAAGGTTTTTCTTTTGCTGCTACAATCCACTTTTTGAACTTTTCCAAGTTCACAGCAGGTAAGTGAATTCCAAAATATTTTTTATAGTATTTTTAGTAAGCAGTTTTGTCTGACTTTGCATCTGGTAATGAAGTTCACTTTAACACCACATATTTTCATGCTGTTGAAAAATTATTATAAATATATGCAACTAGTGACTGTGATTGTTTTTGTCACTAGATACCATAATGAAGAATTTCAGAGGTAGACATTTTACAAGTGATATTTTAAAAAATGAACAGTCTTAATTTTAATTTTAAGATGGCATCTCTTAAGGAGATACACTCCTGCTCTCTCTCTGAATGTGACATTTGCACAATATTTGGGACTTTTTTTTTTTTCCTTCTGGGAGAAGCAGTTCTTAGTTTACAGTAGAATTCTAATCAGCAAAATTGTGATACAGTGTGTTTTCTGAAAATGATGGTATTAAGTATTTTCCTGATTTATTCCTTCAGAAAATTCTTATTTTATTTTATGAAATAGTTTTACTTAGGTTGAATTGTGGAACAAAATATTGTTATTAGTACAACTTATGAGGTCTGCTTAGACTTCACTGGGGAAAGATTATATGAGTAAACTTCACAGCCCCTTTTTGCTGGACTGTTTTTCTATAACAATAGGTGCATTGGCTGGTCTGTCTTGAAGGCAGAGATGTTTAAAAAGCTGCAAGTGTGATCAGACAAGAGGTTAAATCTAGGTGGACTAATACAACTATGATGTTCACTTTACAGGCTTTAACTGTTATCTACAAATTTAAAAGACTCATTAGAAATTCAGCAAGAACCAGAACGAAGAGACGTTCAACAAAGCAAAGTATACCCTAGAATGTTTTTCTCTCAGTGGTTTTATCCAGCAATTCATTCCCCATGGGCACTTTTTTTCCCCTCTGTGGAAAGACCAGAGCAGTGTGTCCCAAAGAGCAGTATAGTAGTAGGCAGTAGTAGTGACAGGAAGACACAACACTACATAGCTTTTCAAGCCTCATGCCATTTCTGTGACAAACAGACATATTTCTGAAAACATTGGTTTCAGCACACAGCAACCATAGTGTTTGATCAGTCTGTGAATGCTTAAAATGTAAAGATTTCTGGAAAACACAGACAAAGCAGATGAGTGAAAAGTTACACTTAAGATATGTCTGGTTTTAGTTTTGTCAAGTCAAACCCGCCACATTCTGACACGTGTTTAAACTGCATTCCTGACCGCTGCCGAGCAGATGCTTATACCTGCTTGCTTAACAACACCAAAAAAAGTGTTTTACAGCAGTAAGCGTGCAAAGAGCGCCCAGCCCAAGCTCGCTGTGCAGCCGTGCGGCACC